AAGTTGTTTTTATATTATATCTTAAATAAACAGCTTCGTTGTGGGAACTTACAAGACTCAATTTAATTAATAACATACTTTGTTGTGCCAATACAATACGACCTAAGTATAATAATAATCATTATAATAAAAAAATGTTTATGCCGGCTTCAAAGCGTAAAAATAATTTTATAATCACAAGTAACATAATTCTAATTAGCAACATGGCGCCAAATTAATTTTATGCACTTTTACTAAATCTGTACGTTTTTCCTTTGTCAGTCTGATTATTAATATAATATTTGTTTTGTAGACATACTTCAAAATACTGTAGATACATACCCATCCAAATTATCGATCAATGTATTTTAATTAAGGACAACGCCGAAATTCCTAATATTTTTACAATATGTTATTATATTACCAATATACATTATTGGCAGTAGCTTAAAATCTATCCTAGATATGACACAAGAACTGTTAATACAGATCAGAGTTTATGACCTATACTGCATCTGAAACGTATGATAAGGGTGCTTGAGTATTTATAAGTCATCAGCATAAAGGTGGTAAGACCAAAAATCATTTCTGTTAAATAGATTATAAATATATGTAGTAAAGAGAAGATGAGATAATATGCCACCCTAAGACACAACAGCTTCGATACTGCACCACGTAGAGACAAAATTTTCTGACGAGAAGTAGTTCAGTAGAGTAGTGAATAAGCGCCGCGGCCTGCGATCGTTGTTTCTTAAGCAATTTTCGCAAGGGTCGGGCACGGGATGGGTGATAAAAAATTAATATCTCGACCCACTCCGTGCTTCGGAAGGCACGTAAAGTCGTCGATCACGGTTACATTTGCAGTCGTTAATACCCTCTGCATTGAGCTAACATGGAGGGTCATGGCCCTGCAGTAGGGACGTAAAAAGGCTGATGTTGAATATAATATTTTCAACTATGCGATGAGAAACTATAAGCGACAACGATAATTCGCTTTACTTTAATGTTTTGTAGTGTGACAGTAAGTTGTTGTCTAAAAGGAGACACAATACGTCTGATCCAAAAAAGTATAACATGCAATTGCAAAAGTATGATATAAGTTATAAATGTAATCAATTTTTTAATTTTCATTTAATATAATCATTACATAAGATTTTATAAAAAACTGGTTAACCTATACTAACCCATTTAGGTTGTACCTACTTTGGTTACAAATCAACTGAACATTCCAGTTAGATTCCAGTTAGTGGTTAATCAAAATATTGGCTCTGGTTTGAGAATTAGTAAATATGACTTAGAACCTATTGGTCTCAAATCTTATATTATTTATAAAAAAAATCTATTTATATTGTATCACAGGTATAATGCTGTACGGTGACTAAGATGTTAAAATAATCTTTACTTATATAAAGAGGAAATATTTGATTATATGTTTGTTTGCAACATTGGTGTTAAAAATTCTTTCACCTACGGGAAGCTACATCATATGCGGTAAACGTATATTTTTATCCTGAAAAAATATATAGATAAAAATGGGAGTGGAAGTTTGTATAGGGAATTAAACCGTTATAATAGTAACAATTGTTTGTTATTCAATTTATCATTGTAATTGTACCCGCGACATAATATGAATCGATATCCATATAACAGTTCCCTGGGAACCATGCAGGCGATGCTGCTGGCGGAAAGCAAGTATTATAAAATAATTATAATTTATTGTTATTCAGTTGAGTGGTCTATCTGTCGTAGAATTAGAGATCAGAAAAAATTAACTCAGAGGGAAAATTAACATTAACTTCTGAGTCACTTCTATGTAGAAATGTTTTTGAGTTAACCGAGTTTTAGTTTTTTTACAAATGAGTTTTTCAACACTGCTAACTAATAGAATAATACTAGATATACTAATTTAGTTGCTTTCTTAGGCGCCTATTGTGATATTTCATATGTTTACGTAAAATCTTATATTCTTGCGCAAGCGATATAGAAAGTGGTGAGAGCTTTCTCTGTAAAACCTCCAGTGAGAGATATTGCTGCTATTTATTAAAGAGGCGTTTATTTAATTTTTTTATAAAAAGAAACGTACTTTTGGGTACGGAACCCTAAAAGTGATAAAAGATGTGTAAAAAACGCTAACGCAGCCTGATTTATGCAATGCAAAAGTGATAGAAGCTCTTGAAGCTCCTCAGTGAATGCAGCCTCTTTGACAATGTTATAGGGCTTAACCTATAAAAAAAGTGAATGAAGCTATATATAAAATGGTGCTCTCTTTCCGTTTGTAATCATCTTGTTTAACTAAAAGCCTTAGTATGATCATTTGCGAATCAGCACTTGCATTTGTGATAGAGATTTCGATTCGATTTTTGAATCAATTTTTGTCATCCAGTTCGATCTCAAGATGATCGCAAAACGAACAGATCGGAAATCGATCATTACTATTATTGTCTATAAAGAATTCATCTATAAATTTCCTCATTAACTTGAAAAATAACGGCAATGGTAACATAAATTGTTATCAGTTGACAATTTCCTTCATGTAATAATTCCATATTACACCGATAATTTAGATAGAAAGGTTTTTGTACGACAGACAATAGGAGAATAGATCGATCTTTACGTCATCGTTTTTTCCCGAGTTGATCATAAAGGCTCCAATTCGAATTGATTCACAACATCGATTATTTTGCTATAGATCGGTAACCCTACTTTGTGACAGTTTATATGACGATAAAATGTAGACTAATCATTTGAAATCTGGCTGCCTAGCTATAAGACAGGGGTCACCACTGTAAAAGAATATTTTATGTACGTCCTTTTTTATCAATTCACTTTATCTGTTATTAATTAAAATCGAGCACTAACCAAGAGAACACTTCTAAAGTAATCAAAAAAATAAAAACCGTCTAAATGAAAGAGATATTCTTTTTATAAAAGTAAATGCCTTTAGCCTAAAGAAGAAGGAAGTAAGAAGTAGAATTTCGTCTAAAAGGAAAGAAAGCAAACCTATATTTGTTTAATGTGATGTGTTCTCTTGATTAATGGTCGATTTTTATCAATAAGAGATGAGGGGAATTCATAAAAAAATGTCGCACAGTGAACATATTTCACAGTGATCCTACTAGTCGTTCAATGATTTTGCTAGACAATGCCGTTCTAAATTATTAATGTTATATGTTATCTAACTTTCAAATAGCAGATTAGGGGATAGTTTTCTAAATCCTATCATAGACTAAATGTACCCTTTATGTTTCCCTGATTTTGATCTTGTATAACAGTGAGCACCCTTTATATTTTGATTTAGATCTTGTATAACAGTAAAACATTTTTTTTTTCAATACTTTATTTACTACATGAAAAATAATTTATAGGGGTTAAAGTATGAAATTGCCGTTTTATTGTAATAGGTTCCTTGAATTGACATAGAATCTTCATTGTTTGAGGTTTTCGTAAGAAACTTTTTTCACATGGTTTCTATGATGTTCTTCTTTTAGAAAATGTGAAACATTTGAATATCGACATTCAATTGTTTTAGATAGAAACTGAGAAAATCTCCGATCTGGTCAAGCAATAACGGCAGATGTCTATTGTGCTGAACTCCGAACAATGTTGGCAAAACTAGCAGTAAAACAGCCTCGACTCATGAATCGATCTTCACCATAATTGCTCCATGACAACGCGAGACCTCATGCAGCATGAAAAACAGTTTCGAACTGCAGTTAGAAACCATTCGTCATCCTCCGTATTCAACAGACTTTGCTCCAACGGACTGCCATTTTTTTCGTGATTTGAACAATTATCTACCTACGTGACAAAAAGTTTTCTTCAGTACAAAGTACTTTCACACAGTTTGTGCAGTCTAGATCCTCAGAGTTCTATCATAAAGGCATAAATGACCTTTTATAGATAATAATGGTAATTATTTTGATTAAATAAATTTGTAAAAATTTTGATTTTCAGTACAAATCAACAATTTCATACTACGATCCTATTATTTAGCAATTTTATAATTATATTGGATTTATTACAAAACCTTTATATAATTTTACATTTAGTCGATTTCGACCCATAAAAAATATTTCTTTTTGAAATTTCATTTTTTGGGGTTAAACATTAATAGAAAACAGATTAACTAACTATAAATGTTTTCGAATAGACGCGTTAAAGGTGCCGCAGCGAGCTTCTCAGAATGTGGCCTACATTTGAATTGTTTTCGTCCAATCAGGTTTTCCGAACATTCCAGTTTCGATTTCAACATTTTTGATTTCTCGCTTCGCTTTCTTCGGCATTTCACACGCAAAGTGATGTACCTATATAATAAACGCTATGGATATTGTATTTTTTTGATAAAATCTGTCTTACATTACTTATATTAACCAGTATTTCCCAAACTATGGGGCACGACTCAGTGGGCTAGTGGATCCAGAACGAATATTCTGTGGGCCCTTATGAGCTCGTCATTATTTTTACTACAATTATGATAAAAAAGTTAGTAGTTCCATGGTTTGTTGCAAGGTAATCTGAGCGTTACCGATATTGACAAACAGGTGGGTCCCAAAATATCTACAATTTATGCCCAAACAACTTTTTGAACCATTGATGTTTACTATCTGTTTTACTTTGTCATCATCATCATCATCATCATGAACTATTTCATTTTATATGATCAATAATTTTTATCTTAATTGTATCATTAAAAATATTTATTTCGTTAAGAGTAACAACTAGCTAAAAATAAATCTCAAAGTGAAATATGAAAAGAAATTATATTCTTTTGATCTGTTTTTTCAATGTTAAGAAATAAAAATAAATTTATTACATGAACATTTATTGAAGGATAAAGAGAGAGATTTTATTGAAGGAGAACTTATAGGATGACTACAAAGCTGTTAAGACATTTTTACATTGCTTTTGTTATTCTTTATTTAAATAAAACGTTCTGTTATTTTTCATCTATAACATCATATATAGACGAATAAAAATGTTTGTCATTGATGTTGATGTTTTTAAGTCTCTATTCTTAAGTCGGTTATTGGGTCTTGACCGACTAATTGGATTGTTTGATCACTTTTTTGTAAGCTTACACCTTATATGTCACTTTTTTGTTCTGTCAGAGTTGTAAAATTCCATTGAAGTAGTAGTGTGATGGTTAATTAAAGTTGATTTAAGCAGATAGATAATTTTAACAGAACTATTTATAGATTTTTTTCTATAATTATAGAGGCTGTTGATTAAGTGGAGTGAAAGTAAAACTATTATAAATGTGAGTTATTATAATAAAACCCGGTATCAATTTAAATAATCCATTTGGTTTATTCCATGGCTTAAGTGAAGGTATCAAAATAAATACACAACATCCATTCGTTTATATACAGATATGCAAAGATTTCGTGATACACGATACAATAATTTTAAACATACTTGAATATAAAGAGATCATGATAAACATGGTGAATAAATAAATATTTTTTATAATTTAATATAAGTATTCGAACTATAGCAATAATATCACAATTAAATAAAATATTTGGTTTTATGAATAAATAATAATAGAAGCAATTCGAATAAATAAATGAAAACTAAATTTTATATATACATAAATACGAATAATTTAACAGATGAATGTTACTATAATACAAAATATATATTTACAATAAATTAATTAAATTACTATTACATGAATATTAAATACTTCTATAATTCCTTTTCAGTCAAATTGACATGATATGTGGTACCGTCAAAATACATGTAAAATGACCGAAAAGAAGAAAATATATTTCTACAAATAAATAAATTAAAATTTCACACACAATTTCATTCTTCCGCACACTTAATAAATAAATAAATAGACTGGCCTTAATAAATTACTAATTGACAATGGTATCGAATGCTGTACTCTAATCTAGAATTAGATTCGAATAATTGTAAGTCCTATGATGTTGACGATAAAATTACTTCCTATGGGCTGAGTACGCCAAATTATTTGCATCGTTCTTTGAACGCGACCATCCTTGTTCCCAACCGTGACCTCCGTGACCTCCGTGACCTGCATGATCTTCAACATGAGGTGCCCAGACCTCTTCATGTTGCTGTTGATGTTTCTTAGCCAGTAATGCCTTGATGATGCTGAACGCTTTGAAGAAGAAAGCGAGTTTTGCAAGAAGGGTCAATTTCGCGAAAGAAATTGCTATAACGACAACGGAGAAGACAACCAACGCTACGGCTTTTGCTGTTGCGAGCAGAATCAAAGGAATCAGGATCTTCAATTTTTTCTTAAGTTCCTTCTTCTTTTTACCGCGACCTTCTCCAACTGAAATCAATCAAAAATGTATTATAGGTACAATACTTTTAATTTGTTGATATATTACATGTAATGAAATTTGAGAATTCAAATACATTTTTAACATTAACTTTATAAACAACTGCTTTATTTCCGAAGTTGATTTTTAATATCGGAATATTTCTTTTATTAATATTAGAATATCCATATTTACCTTCACTAAGAGCCCTGGTTTCAGTATCATCATCTTCATCATTGGCATAGCTTAATTCAAGTTCAGATCTCTGCAGCAAATCGGAAGCAGTAGACCACAGTCTTTCAGTAATTTGTTTGTTTCTTTCTTCAGGGTCAGTAGGTAATGTGTCCAAACTCCTGGATTCCTTAGGGTTGGGATTCAGGATTGCTACACCGTCGAAGATTTTTAATTTGCGAACAGTAGCAAGTTTTTCGGTTGCCCTTAGCGCTTGCTCCTGAAAATAGAAAGAAAAATATTTTTAACTGTCTTAATATTGTTTGGTTGCTTATATTAACATAATGGTAAGAATAATATAGAGTTATAAAAGTGTTTCTATAATTATTATTTTAAATTAATTTTGAAGCACAGTTTTATTTATCTGTGTGAATTTTTAGTGAATATTATTTTAAACAAACAATATAATACAGTGACAGAGTTTATGAAAGCTTTGTTTTTCTAGGACAGTATAAAACCTTTCACTAAGTTGTTCAGGATAATAAAGAACGCATAATTTTACTAGCAAGCTTTCCTTAGCAAATATACAATTTCATAAAATAAACGATATCTTGTATAAAATTCGAAGGAAAAGATTAATGTTAGAGAATGGTGATATAATTTGAAACAGTTATATGAAGTTTTCAATAAAACAGAATGCGAAATTATTTTTGAGTTGTTATTCATATTCATATTTACAGTTATAAACATTCACCTTGTAGCTTTGGCAATATTTACGGTTTTTTAAGTAACGTTATTTAATTATGCATCTCCTACATTGTTAAAGCTTCTTTCTAATCTACTTTTACTTTTTACCATCTGTATATCTCTTAAAAAAATAACACAACTCTTTTGTCATTTTGTATACTTTTGTAAAACACATTGCAAACACTATAATTTTTAATAACACTTCAATTAGACAATCTGCACAAATTTGTTTTTTTTTTACGTCACTATAGCATGCAATCACTGTTTACACTAAACAAAGGGTCACTGAACCTACCTTCAAGCATAGCCCTAAATCATTTTTCGCGCAATCCACAAAACTTCCGACCATAAAACGAAGCACTGATTCATCTTGAGACACTGGGCCACACGAGGCAACTGCCACAAGGCTCAATATTAATAAACTCTTCATTTTCACCAACAACGCGTGCACTCCGTGACCAATGGAACTGTGATACACAACTTGATTGGTAACAGTATTTTATCTAAAATCCCCCACTAAGGCGATTCGACGAATTTACTTTTTAAACAAATACTATACATGTGTTATATAGAAACTTTGTGACACTATACGAGAGTGACCATTGATGGTTTCTTATTCGTTAATTTATTGATAACCATCGTTCACGAGAATTTTTACTTTTTAGATGAGTTTATGCTGTAAGCATTCATTTTTTCTGAATACATTGGATTTAAGGAAAGGTGATTCTGAAATACTGTACGGTGATTTCATATATGTAGACCAGATCAATACTGACAATGATAAAACTAATTATAATTAAAAAAAATACAGTTCAATTTTGTTAACTTTTGTATGTTACCCTAAATATTTATAATAAAAAAATATAACATTTTCTGGTATTTGAAGCCTTGTTTTCTTGTTATCTTTTTAATTACATTCGCAAAATCTTGAAGACTAATTAAAAACTATAAGTATTATTCAGAAAAAGCTATGAATAATGGGAAAAGAATTAAATAAAAAAATTGTCATAAAATTACTTATTTATTTATCAATACTGAGGTACTGGTAGATGGCATCTTCGGACTCACATTTTTATATATTCACACACACATGCACGCATAATAAATAAACTGGTACACAATTCACACTATTCATAAATGGCCACCGTAAGCTAAGGTCTGCGCGTCATTTGTTTGTCTACCCCAACCTTGTTGGGCTGGTTCGTAATTATAGCCAGGATGCTCTTCATGATGATGAGGAGCGGAGTAGCTTATGGTTGACCCCCCAGAAGATCCGTGCTTCGCGAAGAGTTTTCTGATAAGATTCACGGCATTCATAGCGAACATGATTTTACCTAAGAAAACTGCCTTGACTGCGACGAAGGCTATGATACCAAGGAACAGAGGAATGAGTGCTGCAAGCTTCAATTTGAAGAGGAGAAGAAGGGGGAGAAGCTGCTTGATCTTCTTCTTCTTCTTGCCACGAGCTGAAAAAATCCATAGTTAATGCTGATCTAAGTTATAAAGGCTTGATTAACAATATTGGCACTCCAAATATAGATTAATAATACGTTATCTCAATCAGACAAAGACTAAATAAACTGTATCCACCTATAAGGAGAAAACTACATTTCTAAAACTCATTGTGCACTTTTGTTGAGGTTCACTGGTGGGGAATGCCTAAGGCATTATGTCCGCCAATTTACATCTATCATGCATGAAGAATTAAATAAATAAGTAAAATACATTTCACGAAATAATTAAAATTATAATACTCTTTGAAAAAAAAAAACAATTTCAAACTTCGCTCAAATTTCATTATTCTGCTGATCTTCAGCAGCGGGGATAAGACATGAGCCCCAGCGATAGGCTGGTGACGATGATGGTGAATTTTGGATACTTTATTATATGTGATACCATATTTTGTTTCTACAAAGGATGTCGATGACGTTAAAAGATGTATATGCCGTTGACAGATCTCATGAGTTTATCTCACTTTAATAATTATACCTTTTAACCTTTTCATTAATGGATATATTATGACATTGTGGATACGTTAGTTACACAAAGAATAAATTAAAAAAATATACAAAGGGAAGTCCCTTGATGAGCGTGTAGACTTTCCAAAATCGACAACTTCAAATATTTTCGCACAAAAAAAATATGCAATACTAGCTTCTTTATCTTCTGTATTTAAGTTAATTGTTCTTTAATGACGTTGCTCTACGTATAAGTTATGAATGATTTGATGAATGATTTTTTGAAACAATCACTTTCAGTATTTGTATAAGACAACCCGAACTTCTTTTGTTATGACACCATTAGGCATTCCTTTAGAAATTGGCATATTGTACTAACAAGTCGTTGACTTTTAAAAGATTTCCATTTGACTCAATAGAATTTAAACGATCGTATTAAAGACCCATCTTTTAAATGGGAATCAATAAATACACTATTGTTTTCTAGTAGCTGATTGGAAAGAGTATTACGATATTATACAAATACTCTTATTGTAATGTCCTTAATTCTAGGAGAGTAGAAAATTAAAAAAATTATATATCAAAATTAATTTGATTCAGTTTACCTTCTTCATCTAAATCCCGTGACTCATTATCAGCTTGATCTGTCAGTCTTAATTGCAAGACATGGTTGTCCAAAAAGTCACCAATGTTGTTGGCAATTCTTTCTTCCAGTTGCATCTCTCTAGTTTTGGGATCCTCAGCGAGAGGTTCATAGCTTCGAGCGGAACGAGCTGAACCCGTATTGATCAGGTTCATACCATCAAAAATGTTGAGGTCTTTTGTCAAAGCCAAACGTTCAGTGTACTTTAAAGCTTTTTCCTGTAATTAAAGAAATTACAAAATGAAATTTGTGTTGTTGAATTTTTTTTAAAGTCTAAACACTAAGTTGGGAAATTCAAAATTGAAATATATAAAATTATAATCGCATTCATTTTTACATAACATCCACGATTTTATGTACTAAAAAAATGTACGAGTACTAATTGGGGTTAATATTTTTATGAAGTTGTCAAATGAACACTTTCATTTGTCACAAAGCTTCTATTCTGCAACACGTAATAAACGTAAGGTTCCGATTTTCGATTAATTCACAACACTTCACTTAGCACTTTTGAATCCATTGTATTCACCTTTAAGCATAGAGAGGTGTCATTTTCTATACACTCCGACACTGCACCTATTAAATTTTCAGCAACACCCTCTTGTACCGGACCACACTTAGCTGACGCCACTAAGGCAAATAATGCCATATATTTCCACATTTTCATAACAGAATGTTCACTGTGACGTACTGCGTCTGACGCTTGGCAGCTTATGATGTTTTCCCAAAAAACTGATGGATTTTATCCTTCAGGCCCCCACCAGTATTTCGCCAGTGAGGTAATGTACGTAGCCATTTGACATTGCTTGCTAACTGAGATGCCATAAGCTTAAACGTAAGGATAAGTAGATAAATAAATATTGGATGTTAGAAAGCGTTTGCTTTTGAGACATTCAAATACGCACGAGGCCGTTTTGTGATGCCAGTGCAAATGAAACGAAAGAAAAAGTGTGATTGTTTGAATTTTCTTATGTAAACTTATTTAGTGGAAATTATCGTAACCGGTGTTGGTACTCATCAGATCCATTCAATAGTTTTCTTAGGTATTGAAAAGTGAAATTCCTTGTCCCCTCTCGCATAAACATTTCCTAATTTTGTATGTAGCTATTTTTTTTTAATATAGCATTTCGAGGTCACCAGAAAACCGGAAAGGCCGTTTATCGACTTTTCGAATAAGAATATCCAATGAAAAATAAATTTCATTTTCTATCACCCAATTTAAAGTTAAACTGGTCAAGAACCATAATAATACTGTTCTAACGAGTTTTATAAAGTGTCATCAGTTATAATATCTATCTTTGGATAATATATACACACTAAGCTATATGTAAAAATATAACCCGAGATTAACTAGTTAGAACGTGATAGGCTAAAAGTGTGAATTGAAAACGCTTATTCATACAAAAAAATATAAACCGACTTCAAACTTAACAAAAGTGGAAAATAATATTTATCTCAAAAGAAAATGTTATTGAAGGCGGCCGTTTATCATTTAATTATTAATTCGAATAAAACCTCCGCCCGACTTTAATAGCATTTTCTCAAATAATTCGCTTTTGAGATAAGTATTATTTTTCACTTTGAAAGTTTGAAATTGGTTCTATATTTTAAATTTTTTTTTCGTGCTTTTTAGTAATACTATTATTTTTAATATAATAGGTAACACTAAAAATACTTTTCTAAAACCGCGTCAAAATTGGTAGATATTCGCTATCAATATATACAACGTTTTAAAGTGCAAACTTCCATTTTTTAGTCGGTTAATATACCAAATAACTTTCCCCTAAGTCTGACAAATACCATGCTGAAAACCGTTCAAAACGGTTCTCCCAAAGGCAAGAAAATACACACATACATACGTGTGTATTTTCTCGCTATAAAGTCAAACTGAGGACCTCTTTTTTGAGGTTGGTTAAAACATATATTGCCCATAAACAAGTGTTGTCAAAGCTGTCAATAAAAAAAAACTAGACAAGCATACAGCACTATAAAAACCGGACTGTTGGGTATACTATACTGCAGATACAGAAAACAAAAATTTGTAAAAAAAACATAGTAAAGGTAAACAGATTTGTTTAGTTTTCTGCATTTATTGATATTATTTAATTTTCATCTATGTAGGTCAATATTTTTCATATGTTCATATCATATCTAGCGCCTAAATAAAAAGTTCTACGGTTTTATCTTTGATAATGACGAACTTCCATGCAAACTTTCATCCCCTGTCCCAATCGTTACAACCCCTTTTTTATGACAAAGGCAATTTATCCTTTTTCAAGCTCAATTTTATTTGTACGCCAAATTTTCATTTAAATCTGTATAATGACACCTATGTGTAAACACCTATGTGTTTATTTACAACAGACAAACAGGCAGAGTTACTTTCGCATTATAGTGAAGAAGTAAGGATTAGCATGGGTTTGACATACACAGAAGGTATACAAAAAATATTGCTGTGTAAAAATAAAGCACGCATATAAATATATAATTATGTGTGCCTTTATATAAGTAGGTGTCCTATGTAGAAGAGCTATAAAGTATATTTTTGAACTTATACTGGCATATAAAATAATAAAAATATTATTATAAAAATCCACAAATAACCATTTGCGGATAATTTTAAAGTCATTGTAAACACTAACGAGATACTAAAACAAGATTTTAATGACTAATTAATGTTTAAGAGCGGCTTTAAAAAATTCTTGAAATGACAGTAAATTTACCACTGAAAGACAAATAAAAAAGGACAATGTCTGGGTGAATTAAACATTTCAGCTTTTATTATTAAAACAAATAAACATTTAATAGTAAAATTATATTAGTAAATAACCTAAAAAATATAACTGATGCCAAAAAAGTTTATGGATTTGACGTGTATGTAGACAACATCTCATACATTGCTCAGATTCCAAGATAAATAGTTAAAGTCGTCGTACGAGTACCAAAAACAATTAAGGTTCAACACCCAGAGTATTCGAGACAATATAAAAAAGTTTAGAATCAAACCCGGGACCTCAGACATAGTGGTACCTTGAAATCACTGTTATGAGGGAATTCTATTCCTAAGGCACACTAAAAACAGCGAAGCTAAATATTATGTGAGCGTTTAAAATCTTTAACATTCAGGAGATTCAGTATTTAGATATGGACTTCTGACTGAATGACTATCATATTGCATTTTAGCGATAGCGATAGCTTTTATTTAATTATGGTGTACAATAAAAGTATTCATTCATTCATTTTTTCATATCAGTGCGTACGTTTGGTTTTGATATTCACAAGATTCAGTTTGTTCGGCCGGCTTTAAGTGGAGAATTCACTAGACGGACCTCGTCATTATGGGTCTGTGTAATGACTGCGACGTTCCTACAATAGCCAGACATGCCTGTCATATACTAAAGAAAGTCTGGCAGGAATATCTGCAAACTTGCCCGCGGACATGACTGTCTAGTGAATTGCTCGCTTTAGTGCTGCACTAACTAGCAGCAATATATTAGAA